CAGGTATTTTTTTCGGAACGAGGAGGGGGCGTGGCAGGCACACATGCCAACGTCAAACAATCTCATCGATTTACCAGTTCTTTTCACAAAAACAAAGAAAAAAAGAAGAAAAAAACAAAACGCTGGAGTTTGGGCCAACAAGTTGTTGCCGCCGCTCGTTTTCCGCTGGATTCTTGTTTTTGTTTTGAGCTTATTTATGCGACATTTTCATTGTGTGTTTACGGTTCCGAAATGAATAAGTGAAATGTGCAATAGATTGAAGAAGCGCCCGCGTGGACGGGCGCTTGAATGGGGTGGCAAGTGGCAAGAGGCGAGAGGCAAGTGGAAAGTGGGTTTGGGGTTGGGGGGTCACGAGGTGGGCGATGGGCGATGGGAGAAGGAACCGCTGCTTGGGCCTGAACAAACAGAGTCACATGCAAAGGCGCACTTAAAACTGCAGACGCCACATAATTGTCGCCCCCCTCGGCAGCTGCTGCATGGAGAACCCGCCCCCTTTCGCCCCCCCGTTTCAGCCTCCAGTTGTCTTCTCCCATAAACCACGCATTCGAAAACACTTCCCTTTTTTTGTTTTTGGTATTTATAATCGTATAACTCTTAGATTTGTTTGCCTAAGGTTCTGTGCAGGCAATGAAATTTTTCAAGAGTAGAAAGTGTTTCTGCCAGTGCATCGCTGCACTGACAACTGTCACTGGTTTTTGACACGGATTCCCTCTCCTTGGTTAAGCTAACTGCAACCAAAAGCTAAACACTCGGGGGCAACCTTTACGACCTCCGAAACCCCTGACCCCCTGAGCCGCTAACCCTTAGCCCTCAGCCCCCAGCTAATGACTCATTAAATAACGCGCTGCACCAATGGGTTAAGGCCCGTGGTGGGGGGGAGAGGAGCAGGATGAGGGATGTGTGCATATTCATGAGCTTCGTGTTAAGCTGCCATTTTGACGTCGACTGTTGGCAGTGTTTACATGGCCGAAAAAGCCAAGCGAAGAACAGCGAGTGCACACAGCAGTTTGAGTATATGAATATGAATATGAATCAAGCCATCAATCAGAGTGTGTCCCTGTCTCTGTGTCATTCGAGTGCGTCGCCCTGCTGCCACTTGACATGCATTCCAGCCCCTGCCGGCAGCAGGGGGTTAAGGATATTGCGGTTTTGGCTTGCGCAAAATTGCCCAAATTGCTGAATGAATACGATCATAAATGATGGGGCCAGGCGGCATTTGAGTGTTTTGATTGACGGAGATGGATTCGACTGAGCCGCTTAGATCATAAATCGCAAATGAATCATTGGATCACAAAACATAAGCTCTGTTTATACATTACAAGCAATAATACACTAGATATGCTGAGATATCTCTCCAATTTTCGAATGAAATACGGAACTTGTTACTTACCAAAAGTTCCAGAGTAGTCACAATCAAGATAGTTTAATTTCCAAAAAGGAAAACCATAATTAAACGAACCGACAATGCTGTCTGGGCCATTTCCCATCCTCAGTCACCCCTTGCCACCTCACAATTGGCCATTAATATTATGAGGCATCACACATACGCCACATATGCCAGATTTGCATCAGGACATGGCCCTCTCTTCCTGCTTGGCTAACTTCCGTCTAGCACATCGAAAAGCCAAAACGGAAATCGATTAGTCATCCGCCTAAAACCGAAATGAATGTTTATCGCTGATAGTTTTTTTTTGGGACCGTAATTAAGAGAGGTTTCTGTTTGGGGTTGGGGGGCGGGGGTGGCTAAGGTTGCAAGGTTAAGGGTTAAGGTAATAACACTTTTGCATGCCAGACCAGACGCTTCACCAATTTCCGTGGATGTTTGCTCGCACTTTTTACCACTGCTGTCGCAGCTTTAAAGCCAACTCTAATGCTGTTTTTCCGACCCCCGCCAAAGCACTTTGGCTGTTCATAAAAGCGAGTTAATGATTCGATGGAACGCTAAGCGCTAACGAGCAATAATCAAATCAAAAATACTTTTTACAAATTGCTGCTAAACAGCTTTTCCTCGCGCTCAATCTCATCTGAATTTTTATACAATTTTCGTGGCAGCAGAGTGAACAATTTTTATTATTTTCTTTTTTTTTTTGTTTGCTTAACCCCACATTACAAGGGGCGGTGGGGGAGGAGGAGGGGAAGACTATCTTGGTCCCCATCGAAAACCCGAACACACACACCTCTTAACTTGTTTGTTTGCGGCTTTTGGCCTGTTGGCGCTCTTTTGAGTTTTCCATGCGCCCGCGCGTATCAATTATCGACTCGAATTTAGCCCTCCTTTTCCCAGCTTTTCCCGGCTTTTCCCCACCGCATTCACGACCATTTTTTCGTTCGGAGATACGCACAGCTGCGGATGGAATAATAGCGCTTCTCAATACCATTGAGATTTCAACAATATATCGTAATCCAAAGGCCAAATCGAGCAATCAATACACCAGCATATTGACTATTAACTATTGCATCCTTTGCATGCAAATGAGAGTGCAAAAATCACACAGTGCTATTTTTTCTGCCCCATTTGTATATGTATGTTGCATACTTTCTGGCGCCGCTTTAAGTTCAAGTGCAAGCCAGCTGGGAAAAGGCAACAAAAAAAAATAAAAGAAAAACACAGTCAGCCATCCAAACTGATCCCATTTCAAGGGAGAAAAGAAAAGAATGTAAAAGCTTTCCTTCGGTTGAGAAAATCTATTTGACACTCAGCGAGGAGGACGCAATGCAACAGTGACGCTGAGTGAAGCCAATGGAGCTGCAAAATGGTGCAATCCGGGAATGAGTGGCAGGTAACAGTCATTAGGGACAAATTTATGGGCACGGAGAATATTGGAGGAAGTAATTGATATAACCAATATTTAGAGAAGCCAATTTGGCACAAAGCGAATGCCTTGGGACATTTCTTCATTTTTTTTAAATTTCTACATCATCACACCAAAAAAATTAAAAAAAAAATTGAAAAAAAATAAATTTCTAAATTTGAATGCAGATTTATAGAGAATTGCGCCAGAAACATTTAGAGGTATGCCACTTCAAAATCCGATGAAGATAAGTTGAGTTATGGAGTTTAGAACTTCAGCCATAGGACATTTTTTAATTTTTTTGAATTTCTACATCATCATACCCCATAAAAATTACAAAAAAAGTTGAAAAAAAATAAATTTCTAAATTTGAATGCAGATTTATAGAGAATTGCGCCAGAAACATTTAGAGGTATGCCACTTCAAAATCCGATTAAGATAAGTTGAGTTATGGAGTTTAGAACTTCAGCCTTGGGACATTTTTTAATTTTTTTTGAATTTCTACATCATCATACCCCATAAAAATTACAAAAAAAGTTGAAAAAAAATAAATTTCTAAATTTGAATGCAGATTTATAGAGAATTGCGCCAGAAACATTTAGAGGTATTCCACTTCAAAATCGGTGCCTAATGAGTTGCTGTAATACAAAAGCGAAAATTTGCATTACCTCTAGACGGACATGGCCAGATCGACTCCGCTATTGATCTTGATCAAGAATATACATATATACTTTATATGGTCGGAAACGTTTTCTTCTGCCTGTTACATACTCTTCAACGAATCTAGCTTACCCTTTTACTCTACGAGTAACGGGTATAATACCTTTAAATTATGGAAATAACAACGACTGGAAAAAAGAAGAAAAAAGTGAAAGGCGAAAATCCCCAGCTGGACCATAAACCCATTCCATTCAAAATTCACCTTTATCAAGAAAGTGCAGGAAAGATGGCAAGAAAAACTTGTTTTTCGACTGCGGATTATAATTTGTTGCTTGTATGGGGCCGTCAAAAGGATTAGGATCACACGTCTGGCCAAATAATTGGAGCCCAACAACCTTTGGCAGCCAAAATCCTTTGTGTGCCCCCTTCTGTTTTGTGTGCCCCACTATTTGAATCTTTAATGTCAATAAGCGGCAGTTGGCAAATAAAAACAAACAGAGGCCAAGAAACATCAGCGAAAAATCATATTTGCCTCCCTTTGCAAATTGACTTGAGGCGCCTTTTCCTCACTTTTTCGCCTGTCTTTCTTTCTGTCTGCCTGTCTGCCTGTCCGCAATGAAATTGTCAAATTGTTGCCCGGAATTTTGCTCGCCTTCGTGTTGAAAATTGCCGAATGGAAAACTTTGGCGATTTGTGTGCGGCCCAAAAGTTGCTTAAGTTTTCGCCACTGCAGTTCCACATTAACTGCCACATTTGCGATGACAAATTGTTGACTTGCGGTGGCCAATAACCCCAGTCCCAAAAAAATACAAAACTAAATCCCGGTTTAAATGTTGTTTATAAATGCATATGTATGACATACCATATAAATAATTATTTCGCGGGCTTTTAATGACTATAAGAATTTGTTTAAATTAAGTCGTTACCATTCAGCTAAATGGCTAAACATTGTGCAGCACAAAGTGAAATCATCGCTTATTGTTTGCTCCTGAATTGGCCTTTACTTTAAGCTCCTCTGATTACGACACCCACTCCCTTAAATGTTCACTTAACTTTTCTTTACTTTTAATTAGCCGCTGCTCGCGGCTCTTCTGCTTTTTGCCCCAGCTCTCTTTGTTATCTATACCCCCTCTACGCGAATTTTCCGGCTGCTTGTAATCAAATCCGCGTTGTGTCACTTTGAATGGGGCTGAAAAAAAAAATTATCCAAAAATATTTGTGAAATTGCTTAAGAGTCTTCTTCTGCTGATTCTCCTGTATGAAATATTAAGCGGAGTCCGGCGGAAAAAAGGGTTCAAAAGGCCAACAGACATGCACAGGAAACTGTGGCTAACGAGGGCGGGGATTTCAGTCCTGTCACACAACAAACACCTAACAAACTTTTGCTTTCAAGTTGATGACGGGGGTGTCAGAGAAGCAGAAGTATTTCCATCGGCCGGCGGAAGTCCTTGTTAAACTGCATCCGGTTGTCATCTAATTGCAGGCTGTCAAATCCATCTGGCGTTCCTAAATATAAAATTCCACCACTTTTTTTTATGAATTTTTCAGAGTGCCAATCCAACGAGTTTAGATGCAATAACGGAGATTGCATCGATGCCAGAAAGCGTTGCGACAACGTTTCAGATTGTAGCGAAGGCGAGGACGAGAACGAGGAATGCCGTAAGTACTAAGTGCTAATCAAGAAACTTATGGGTGTAACCTGTAATACACCTCAACCCGTAACTATCAGTTAACTGTGCCATTATAGTGTCTAAGATGTAGAACAAACAATTCCTCGGACATTCTCCGTTACCTAATTGAAGTACCTAAGCTTATAGTATCTAAACAAATTGAGTTAGAGCGATGCGCTCTCTCTCTTTGTCTACCCCGCTCTTTAGATTAACTTTCGCTTTGATAACTAGAACTATTTGTAGTACCTAAGTATAAAGTGTCTAAGACTTAGAATAAGATACCCCTCAAAAACCGTCCGCCAGCCAAGAGCTCTACTAACCCCATCTCTCTTTTCTCCTTTAACCCCAACAACATGCTAACCGCTACCACTAACCCAACCTACTAACAGCCGCCGCCTGCAGCGGAATGGAGTACCAATGTCGCGACGGCACACGCTGCATCAGTGTGAGTCAGCAATGCGACGGTCACTCCGATTGCAGCGACGGCGACGACGAGGAGCATTGCGACGGAAGTGAGTTACTCGCCCATCAGTCACCCATCTGCACACCATCTATCCAACCACCACCACCTAATATTTCTGTTTTTATGAAGTGTTGCCGGTAGAAATGGCTTAAGTAATCCCAAACGGGAAGGCAACTCCTCATACACAACACATCGTTTTTCCTCACCATCTCTCCATTTGCTCATCACTTTCAATTTCCATTTGAATCTCCCTTTAATGCTCCCGCGGTACAGTTGTGCCCAAGCTGCGATACACCTGCCCCAAGGGCAAATTTACGTGCCGGGACTTGAGCTGCATATCGATTGTCCATCGCTGCGATGGTCGGGCCGACTGTCCGAACGATCGATCGGACGAGGAGGGCTGTCGTAGGTGTTCGGTTAAATGGACAAATTATCCACGATAAATATCGATGTATCTTTGTTGTTTTTTTACCCTGTTTCGCTTCTCTTATGGGAATGCAGCCTGTCTGTACGACAAGTGGCAGTGTGACGATGGCACCTGCATAACTAAGGAACTGCTTTGCAATGGCAACATCGATTGTCCCGAGGACATTTCCGATGAGCGCTACTGCGAGGGTGAGTAAAATACAAAGCGTTACTTCTGGTTTATAAGAATTCTCCGCGGAGAAGCGGTAAGTTTATCCTTTTCCCTATCCCTATCCACCGCACATCATCATCTCACCGAAACGAACACATTCACAATTCAAAACGAACACTAACAAATGCGTGCTATCGATAAATATCGATCGTCGTCGCCAGGTGGCTATGATAGCGAGGAATGTCGGTTTGATGAGTTCCGTTGCGGGACTGGGGAGTGCATACCAATGCGACAGGTGTGCGATAACATCTACGATTGCAACGATTATTCCGATGAGGTTAACTGCGGTAAGCGTTTCGTGTTATCGAAAATTTTACTACTGTTCTGCTTTGCTTTTATGCCTCTTCGTGGGTAACTAAAATCGATTACTGGTGTTGGTCTCTCTCTCCCTCGCTCTCTCTCTCTCTCTCTCTCTCTCTCTGTGTATCTATCTCCAACTTACCATCTTCTTGTCAGCTGTCTTCTGTGTGCCCCTTCCGTTGATATCGCTTTTATCGCTATCTGTGCGATAGTCATTTATCGAAGTGTCTGTGTCAATCAATATTTGTTTGATTTTGATTTTAACTCTAAACATTTTATTTTTCTTTTCCCCCTCCCAAACGATAAAATGTGTATTGAAACCCCTGGTTTTGGTTACCGAATACCCAAAAATTAATCGATTAACTGCACGTCAACCCACTCTGGAAAAATACCCGCAAATGCGACGATCTACGAATTGGCTCAACGACTTTTTCAAAACTTCATAAATGCATGTGTTATCAATACTACCCCTAACCCAAAATCCGTGGTCTGCATGCGGTTGTCTCATGTGCCGTGTATCGTAAATCGTAAAACCTCCATCCAAAATTAATAACCGGACGATAACAGCCGAAGGCGAAGAGGAGGATAGTGTGGGCATACCCATTGGCCACCAACCGCGGAGGCCACCGCCCAAGCACGAAGACTGGCTGCACGAAATGGACACCAACGAGTACCATGTGTACCAGCCAAGTAATGTCTATGAGAAGGCCAATTCACAAAATCCGTGTGCTAGCAACCAATTCCGCTGCACCACCTCAAATGTTTGCATCCCGTTGCATTTGCGGTGCGATGGTTTCTATCACTGCAATGATATGAGCGACGAGCAGTCCTGCGAGCAGTATCAGCGGCACCCCACCACCCGACGCCCTTTGACCTTGGCCACAATCTCCACCATATTCACCACCCAGGGCCCAGATCTTCTGGAGCGTCGAAATACCACCAGAGCCACCGAAGCAACGCGATGGCCATGGGCAACGAAACAGACAACCACCACGACCACGACTTCTAACCCAATAACAACAGTTGGCGTAGCGAGTAGGTGTCCTTGAAAAATCGTTGAAAAGTGTAGCATACTTAAGTGGGTAACGGTTGGAGAAAATTCTTTTGCAACAAAAACTGGTTGAAACAAAATACTTGGGGAGTAACAGAAATAAGTAATGAAAAAAAAGAGAAGCCCATTACATTCCCCAAAAAAAATTTCGTTTCCCCACCTTTTGTTGCAATAATATACCGCGCATAAATGGATTAATAACTGGTATAGGATAATTGGTAACATTACCCTAAAAAATCTAAGTCACGTTGATGGTTTAGGAAGCGTTGGGTTAAGTAAAAGAGCATGCCACGTTTGAAACATAGAAACCTACTTTAGCTATAACCATCCCAGGCGCACCACACACGCACACACACACACACACAAATTACAATTTAGTTAGTTAAGCATTTAAGTTATAAACTCTTTTAATTGATATGCCTCATATAGCTCATACCTGTACATAACCATGCATACGCTCACGCTTCCTCTCTTTCTTTCCATTCTCGTTATGCCTTGTTTTATTATCATTGGGATTATACATATGCCCTGTTGTGTGTCACCCATCATCAACACCCCCAACCAACAAAAAAAAAAAAAACAATGCCGCACATATAGACAAACTACCCCAGACATGCCTCGAAAACATCGAATTCGCGTGCCAAAATCGCGATTGCATTTCGATTGAGAGCGTCTGCGATGGCACCAGCGACTGTGTAAGCAATGAAGACGAGGACGACGCTCTGTGCAAGTGCAGCGGCGACAAGGTGAGCCAACCACCCACCGGCCGCTCATACAAGCTACCCACCACACATGCCCCTTGTAAAATATATATATACTTAGTGCTTGTTAGGCGAACAGTTGATGTGATCCAAAAGATTCAATGAAAGCGGTTTTATTCAACAAATTAAAAACGATTTGATACTTTGACATTAAATTGAGCAAATTAAGTACTATGAAAGATAGCAAAATAAGCACTTTGTAGATATAAACACTACCTCCCACATCCCCACACATACTCAGCTGTCACAGGTGGGATCGAGAAACAACGACCCATCTCTGAAGCCAGTAGAAATACACACCCATTCTCATGATTTCTTCAGTACAAATGCCAGCGCGGCGGAGGCTGCATTCCGAAATCCCAGGTGTGCGATGGCAAACCTCAATGCCGCGACCGCAGCGATGAGAGTGCATGTTGTAAGTACCATCTCTATCGCATTCTTTATCACTCAGGGCTCGTAAAAAAAAAAAGTTCACTTCATATAACTTCAATTGGGTATATTTTAAATTAATAGTTATTAAAAGCATGAGCCCCGCCATTTGTTTTCATCGCTATCTTCCTCATCATCGATCCTCGTTAAGTTCTCCTGCCCTCTAACAAGCTTTTGGTTCAATTAATACATATATCACTCTAGATGATTACGACTGAGTTCGAAGCTAACATAGATTAGAAAGCAATTCCAATTGGCTTAAATGCTAACTGCTAGTGCCAAGCCCGCCGTACTTACTCCATTTCACAACTCGCCCTCCACGTATCGACTTTTGTTGCTAACTGTACTTTTTCTTTTGTTCTCTCTTCGTTCGAAACAAAAAATATCCTGTGTAAAAATCTATCCCGTACTTTGACACCCTGAAACGTAATACTCTGCTATCCCCGCTATCGCACCACACACCGCGCCCGCCTCTGAAAACTCCGATCTCCAGCAAATGGAGGATTGAATAAGCCTCGTTTGGGGGTCCAGTGCCTGGAGAGCCAGTTTCAATGTGGCGATGGAAGCTGCATCTCCGGCTACAAATACTGCAATGGCATCCACGATTGCGCCGATGCCTCCGACGAATACAACTGCATCTACGTTGACACCTACGGTAGCCCATAGATCCATTGATCCTTCCTTCCATCTACTCACCATCCAAAGCTATCTGCAGTTGCGGCTAAAATGGCCGGGAAACCCGAAAAATGTCAACGAAAAATTACTGTCTACATAAAGATAAAACCTGTGTTATTGCTTTAAGATGTAATACTTTAATGGCATTTTTCAAGAACCCAAAGTGCTACAATTTTAGTCGCAATTGCATCTATCCGCCTGACTACGAATCTATCGACTTGTCTGCGCGACCCACCAGTGATCATTTATCTTTATCATTTATCTTTTATCTTTCCAACTTTTCATATATACAAAAAAAAAACACATTCACATGTAAACAAAAAAAATCAGACACCGAACCGGGCAACAATCCATTGAATTCATGTGATATCCTTGAGTTTGAATGTGAAGACAGTCAGTGTTTGCCGATAGAGAAGAAGTGCGATGGCTATGCAGACTGTGATGACATGAGCGACGAGTTCGAATGTCAGCCTAACACAGGTAAAGTCCCCCGAATCGGGGCTAACCAAATGGCTCCAGGTGCTATTTCCGCTAAGTCTAACCATCTAACCAACCAATCAACCAATCACCCACTTGCTCTCAATATCATACACCCATTACCCCGCCCAAACTCACATTCACCTCATCATTCGCAGACCATTGTCTAGAGTCTGAGTTCGAATGCGATAGCTACTGCCTGCCCCTCGATCAGTTGTGCAACGGAATTCCCAATTGCCAAGATGGCAGCGACGAGCGCAACTGCACCTTCTGCCGGGAAGACGCCTACCTGTAAGACCACAAACTACCCATCTACCCAAAGCTTCCCATTCATATACACATACACATACCATTCGATTACCAAGTTTGAAATAACCGAAAGTATATTAATCGACGTAAATGTATCTTAGTATCTTGTGTCGCGAAAACAGTTTGCCCCTATTAATTTTTATTTGATACTTACGAAACCGAGGTCAAAATTGATCAAAGAATATTGATGATATATCGATGATATATAGGTCCTACGCATCCCTCCCTATCCACTCCGTTCTTCTCCTTCCATATCATAATCATTTCTTTGCTTTTTCATGTCTCATGGCTCCTTCTACAACACACGACACAACACATAAACCACATCATCCACTATACTACTCGAACTACATGACCATCACTCATCGTCGAACATCGCTAACCGAAACTCAACGCCCGCCCATCGTCTTCAAGTTGCAACACCGGCGAGTGTGTGGCCGATAATCAGAGATGCAACGGCATCGCCGATTGTGGCGACGGCAGCGACGAGCGTCACTGCGGTAAGAAGTCCATCAAACTGGGCCACCGGAATCACTGATTCGAACCTAGTCCCAAATACCCGAATGCACCACCACCACCCAAGAATGTAGATAGTTAGTACTCCGCTTCGCTTTTGGTACGCTTGATTTGGTCTAAGATTGTACTTTTATTCGATTGGCTTCGACTCGAGTAGAAACCCGTATTGGTCCTTTGAATGTGAGTTCTCATGGTGAAATTATCTTTCCAAATTCAAGCAAGGATACATTGTCCACCTAACAAACTGGCCTGCAACGGCACTTGCGTCAGTCGGAGAATAAAGTGTGATGGCAAGCGCGATTGCCTCGATGGCTATGACGAGATGTACTGCGCCGGTAAAGAATCCAACCTGTAGCCTGTTATCCTCCCAGTTTACTCCTCTTTGACTGTGCTTCCTTGAGACTAAAGCCTGAGACTTTGCCTCTTCTGGCTTCATTTCTTAAATGAGGCGTTCCCCTTTAAATTAGTAAAATATCCAAATTTCAAATTTCAAATTTCTATTGCTACAATTTAACTGCTTTTCTTTTAACTATCAATGCCTTATCCACATCTTAAGCTATACTTGGCCTGCAACGCAGCATTCTAGCATTCGTTTATTGTTTTGTCTTGTTTTGTCGTTCCATTCTTTTCGCTAACCCACACACCAACATCACCGCCAAACATCCACGACACACACCATTCAACACCACAGAGACCAACAACCATTATCCCACACAAAATGTGAATGTTATTCGACCAAAATTGGGCCCCAATCCCATACCAAAATCCTGCCGCCCCCATGAATGGCAATGTGCGAATCTCGAGTGCATCGATCACAGGTTGCATTGCAATAACTATAAGGATTGCTCCGATGGATCCGATGAGGACCTCAGCGTTTGCTTTGGCACTGGTAAACGAGACAAGTCTTCCACTGACCCTCTTTCTTTAGGTTACACATTGCATAAACAAGATATACTGGCGATTTATTTCACCTTTTGTCTTGTTTTCGAGCTCACTCATTTCTTAACTCCTTAAAAATATCATAATCCGTAAGCATTAAAATGAGATCAAGTTGACCACTCGGCAACAGCGATATATCCCTAGTAACGTAAGTCTCTCCAAACGGAATCAGGTTTGTATGTGCCCATAGACTTAGACTTAGACTTAGACTTAGCTGGCCAAGCTAAGACATGAGCTTAATCACAACGCTTTCTTGTCTCTCTTTCTTGCCGCGCCATCCACACATCCATTAAACCACACAAAAAACGCACCCTGCATGATGTTTCCGATCCGATGCCATCTAAACATATAGCCACCACCCGACTTAAGCCCAGCGACTGCAGTCCGGATCAGTTCTACTGCGATGAGTCGTGCTACAATCGCTCCGTTCGATGCAATGACCACGCCGAATGCTCTGATGGCAGTGATGAGGTGGGGTGTTCCATGAAGTCACTGCCATGTCCGCAACACCAGTGCCCCAGTGGCAGGTGTTATTCGGAAAGTGAACGATGCGACCGCCACAGGCACTGCGAGGACGGCTCCGATGAGGCCAACTGTAAGTCTCCGCCTTCAAAACCGCCCACCTCCTTTGATGATCCTTTGATTTGGAGATCAGGGCTTGCGATCGTAAAATTTCAAAATTGTAGTGGGCTCAGATCCGTGGAGATCTGCAAGAGATAATAATTGGTTAATCCTCATCTTCAGACCGCAGTCAATATGTTTATAGGTCTCTTCATTTTCTAAGCACCTTATCTTTGTATCCGTACATACATATAAGCACAGCGCCTATTTTTGAGCAGCACCAATGTCAGTAAATATTAGCACTGTTGCCATTTTGCAAGAACGTGCATATATCGAAGTTTGATTTGTTAGATGCAGAGTTCAGTCATTGTGTTTTGTACGAATCCAGTCTTGGGCTTTGGCCAGAGTACGGAATATGAGCTAACATGTTCCCGATTTCATTTTGAATTGACTTTAAGTATAAGGATTTTGCAAGGGGTACATTTGTTGCACCCCAAAAAACATTGTATCCAATATTGCATCCATATAACTTGTGTGCTTTTTCAGTTGCTAATATCTCTCTCTCTCTTTCTCTATTATTCGTCTCTCACCTCGTTTCTCTATCTCTCACGCTTTCTCCACTCTGCTTTTGATCGTGTGACTATATATTCTTGATTTTGCGTGTATTATATATTCCACTTTCACTGAACTGAACTGCACCAACACCTATACCAATATTACAATATCACACCAAACACCAAAACTCCACACCACCAACCAAATATCCTATACAGGTACTGCCATCTTGTGCAAGGATAACGAGTTCCTCTGCTTCGATCGTCAGTTTTGCATAAATGCAACGCAGCAATGTGATGGCTACTACGACTGCCGTGATTTTTCCGATGAGCAGAACTGCATTGGTTAATAAAGAACACAACATCGAGTTGATTTAATTATATTTTTTAAGTTTGCCCAAGCAGTTGTACAGCTATAAACAATTATCATAATTGGATTTATTCAGCATTATTATTTTGTAGACATTTTTTTTAGAAGTACTAGTACAATAGATTGTTGATTTCCAATATAATTGTTAGTACATAGGTATTTAAGTTTGCTGTAAGTCCGACTGCATGCTCCGCACTATTTTTGATACTTTAAGTTTCTTAAAATCCGATATAGATCTTAACCTTTCAGAAGTAGCAAAAATGATGCGAGTGCCATGAACTTGACCTGTATTTTCACCTTAACCCACAGGCTGCTACGCAAACCAATTCCGTTGCAATAATGGTGACTGCGTTGCGGATACAGCTCCGTGCAACGGCTATCCCGAGTGTAGTGACCATTCCGATGAGCTCAACTGTGGTGCAAACCATGAGTGTCTGCCCAACCAATTCCGCTGCAATAGTGGCCAGTGTGTGAGCTCCTCAGTGCGATGCAATGGACGTACCGATTGCCAGGATAGCTCCGATGAGCAAAATTGCGGTAAGTAGGAGCATTAGATGGTCGCCAAATGATAGACAACGAAACCAGCATCATCATCACCGCCGAACACTGCTTCATTTGCTCGCTTATATGTATATGCCAAAAGGTCATCGCCATGTAGAGGTCAGTCAAGGCCTGGGAACGACTGGAGTTTTCACCACCTCCTCGACTAGCACCACTGCCATGACACCGCTGAGAATCATCTGCCCGCCAACCTCATTTAAATGCGAAAATGGTCCCTGCATTTTGCTGGCTCTCCAATGCAATGGACGCGTTGATTGTCCATATGATGGTAGCGATGAGGCGGATTGTGGTCAAATTAGCAACGATATTGATCGTAAGTGGGTGACCCACTGACCCCACCAAGATGGCACTGAACCAAAGTTTTATGATTAACTATCTGACTTTCCCCAAAGTAGCTACTAACTGCGATCAAGGGCTTAGGCTACCACACATCTGTCTCTCAAACTATTTATCCCCCGAGCACCCCTGTCATTACCAATAAAATAAACTACTTTATACCGGATTAACTTTGACCAATCTTCAATCCTTTCAAAACAGCCGTCGAGAGCAGCAATGGACGTAAATCGAACCAACTGAATCTCAAGACCTATCCCGACAGCCAGATCATCAAGGAGAGTAAGTATTACCAGCCACATTGTTTCTCCTATTATTGCAAATATTTAACAAAAAACAAAAAAAAAGAGAGTCTGTTAAATGTTCCGGGAGACGTTGTTTAATCTTATATCTCGTTATTCTGATACCTAAAATCGTTTGGAAAACCCTAATTGCCGTTCTCTGTTCTCGTTAATGCTTAACCCAATCCAATTCTATAAACCAAATAATATATAAAAACCTCAGGATATATTAGGGAGGGTAAGTTGGCCTAACTACAATCACTGTATGCATATGTAGTAGACATGTCGATGAGCACATGGATCCCAGCACTACCAGCACTACGAAATTGCACGAAAAACAATTTGGCCACAAGTGGAGTTGTACATTGAGTCGAAATTTTCCAAACACAATCTCCTTAGACAACCCCTTTATAGCAATGATTATTGTTAAGATGAATATTATTCTTTTTCAGTGTGATACGAGTGGGAATTTCTGTATGAAAAGTTTGTTCTTGTCAAAATTTGATACCTCTCTTTATTTTTATTGTTCTATAAGCGCCTTCAACGGCCCTCTATATGATATATCAGTTATCAGTTAAAAGTAATTGCTTTAATGTACACTAGTTTCATATTCGTAAATCCCACTACGATCAACTTTTGAGTCTCGTAAGCATACTGCATTTAGCCCTCCGCAAACCTGGTATTCCTTTTTTATTTGCTTGTCTTTGCTGTTCGATGCATACTTGAACCCAATTAATTAGCCCTTGTGCACCACAGGTCGTGAGGTCACCTTCCGTTGCCGCGACGAAGGACCCGCTCGCGCCAGGGTCAGGTGGACCCGCCCCGGCGGACGACCTCTGCCACCTGGTTTCACCGATCGCAACGGCCGCCTGGAGATTCCCAACATTAGGGTAAGTCTCTTTCTAATCAGACTCAATCACGTTGCACGTTGGCTTAAATCACGTTGTATAACATACTCATACTCGTTATCAGGTCGAGGATGCCGGCATTTATGTTTGCGAGGCTGTGGGCTATGCCAGCTATATTCCCGGCCAGCAGGTCACCGTAAACCTCAACGTCGAACGCTGTGAGTATGAAGGCCGAATTTGACTGAGAGCTGGGCTTGGGTTTGCTAAGGGTAATAGATATTGTTCCATCCGTGAATGCAGCCTGGGGCGAAAACAAGTACGAGGAGCTACGTTCTAATCGCATACGATATGGAACCGTGCCGCACATCGATCTAGAGTTCTTCGGACTAGGTAGGGTTATACCAGTATTTGTCATTGAAAGTTGGCTCGGGCCTCCACGAGGTAACCAGCACTTCAAAAACCGAACCTTGAAGAAAACACTCAATATAGCATAAGTGTTGGTTACTTTCCCGACCGAATCGAATTTTGCAAGAATCTTAAATAACTCTTTTATTCCCCTATTGCCGCTTGGCTTTGTTATTGGTAAGCTGGGCCAGCCATTAAACCTCGTCAGAGTTCTCAAAAAAAATAACATTTTTTCGCATCCCCAACTCTGCTCCTACCAGATAACGATGCTGCATTCCGTCCGGAATCAGCGTGTACGGAGTATCAGGCCACCTGCATGAACGGCGAATGTATTGACAAGACGTCCATCTGCGATGGAAATCCGGACTGCACGGACGGCTCCGATGAGCAAAGCTGCAGTTTGGGTCTCAAGTGCCAGCCCAACCAGTTCATGTGCTCAAATTCCAAGTGTGTGGATCGCACCTGGCGATGCGATGGAGAGAATGACTGCGGAGATAATTCCGATGAGGCCTCCTGCGATCCGGAGCCAAATGGCGCTCCGTGCCGATACAGTGAATTCCAGTGCCGCAGTGGTCATTGTATACCCAAGAGCTTCCAGTGCGACTATGTTCCTGATTGCATGGATGGTACCGATGAAGTTGGTTGCAGTAAGTATTCGTGGGTTAGATAGAGGCTGATCAGTCGATTGCAATGCCAACATTTCCCCAAAATGTTCCTTCAGATTTATGGTTACTATATATGCCAATCTCTCTCTCTTACTCGCAGTGGCACCCCTGCCAATCCGTCCTCCACCGCAATCTGTGGCCCTGTTGGAGGGAGAGAAGCTCGAGCTTACTTGCGTGGCAACCGGAACACCAACTCCCACAATCGTGTGGCGTTTGAACTGGGGTCATGTGCCCGATAAGTGCGTATCAAAGAGCTACGGTGGAACTGGAACACTCCGTTGTCCGGACATGAGGCCGCAGGACAGTGGAGCTTACTCGTGCGAAATTATTAACACACGCGGCACCCACTTTGTGAACCCGGACACCATTGTTACCGTGACCCCCGTGCGTACAGATGTATGCGAAGCTGGATTCTTCAATATGTTAGCCCGCAAATCGGAGGAGTGCGTCAAGTGCTTCTGTTTCGGTGTGGCTAGAGCCTGCGACAGCGCCAACCTATTTACGTATGCCATCCATCCGCCGATCATGTCGCACCGCGTTGTCAGTGTTGAACTGAGTCCAATTCGCCAGATTGTGATCAATGAGGCAGCCCCAGGTCAGGATCTGCTTACACTGCTCCATGGCGTTCAGTTCAGGGCCACCAATGTTCAATTCAGTGGCCGGGAGACGCCCTATTTGGCCTTGCCCACGGAGTACATGGGCAACCAGTTGAAGTCGTATGGTGGAAACTTGCGCTACGAGGTTAACTACAGCGGCAGTGGAAGGCCCGTCAACGGCCCAGATGTAATAATCACTGGCAATCGCTTTACGCTAACTTATCGAGTTCGCACTCAGCCGGGTCAAAACAACAGGGTGAGCATTCCATTTGTGCCTGGTGGATGGCAAAAGCCCGATGGTCGCAAGGCCTCGCGTGAGGAGATCATGATGATTCTGGCCAATGTGGACAATATCCTGATTCGACTCGGATACCTGGATAGCACCGCTCGCGAAGTAGATCTTATAAATATTGCCCTGGACTCGGCAGGCACTGCCGACAAGGGACTGGGCAGTGCCTCTCTCGTGGAGAAGTGCACGTGCCCAACTGGTTATGTTGGTGATTCGTGTGAGTCGTGCGCCTCCGGCTATGTGAGGCAGCCCGGTGGACCTTGGTTGGGTCACTGTGTGCCGTTCATCCCTGAACCTTGTCCATCCGGCACCTTTGGAGATCCCCGTCGTGGTGTGCCCTGCAAGGAGTGTCCTTGTCCGCTAACCGGCATCAATAACTTTGCCAGCGGCTGTCAACAAGGTCCGGATGGCGAAGTAACTTGCCGATGTAATGAGGGCTACACGGGCAGGCGGTGCGAACAGTGCGCCGCTGGATACCAGGGTAATCCAATGGCTGCGGGAGGAGTTTGCCGCAGAATACCCGAAACTTCCTGCAACGCGTATGGCACCTATTCCACCTATAGCAATGGAACCTGCCAGTGCAAGGATAGCGTAATTGGCGAACAGTGCGACACTTGCAAGCCATCGAGCTTCCACCTCAACTCGTTTACCTACACCGGTTGCATTGAGTGCTTCTGCAGCGGAGTGGCCACGGACTGCGATAGTAGCACGTGGTATCGCGATCAAGTGACAAGCACATTTGGACGATCGCTCGCCGATCATGGATTCGCTTTGGTTACAAACTATATGGAATTTATTCCAAGCACCATACCTGTATCTATTTCCACAGATCTCAAGGAGTTGAGGTTTGTAGGATCGGCTAGCCATGCTGGAAATACGCTCTACTGGAGTCTGCCAGCCGCCTTTTTGGGAAACAAGCTTTCTGCATATGGAGGCAAGCTGACATACACCTTAAGCTACAGTCCCCCGCCCAACGGAATTATGTCCCGGAACAGTGCCCCAGATGTGGTAATCAAGAGTGGCGAGGATGTAAGGCTCATCCATTATAGGAAATCACAGTTTGTACCCGGTGTGGCCAACACCTATTCCGTGGAAATCAAGGAAAGTGCCTGGCAGCGCGACGACGAAGTTGTGGCCAACCGTGAGCACGTTCTGATGGCCCTTAGCGATATTAAGGCCATCTACATAAAGGCCACGTATACCACTAGCACCAAGGAGGTCGCGCTGCGACAGGTGTCTCTGGATGTGGCCACTCCCACGAATCTGGGCACTGCCCGTGCCGTCGAAGTTGAACAGTGCCGCTGTCCCGAGGGCTACTTGGGTCTATCTTGTGAGCAGTGCGCTCCTGGCTATGCCCGCGAACCGGAGGCCGGCATTTATCTGGGAATCTGCAAGCCTTGTGAGTGCAATGGACATTCCAAATATTGCAACAGCGATACCGGCGACTGCGAAGTGAGTACCCACCACTAAGAGTACCAAGACGATGACGGCAACTAACCATTACTTTATCATATTTCCAGGAATGTTCTGACAACACCGAAGGACCAAGCTGTGAGCGATGCGCTCCTGGATATGTGGGTGATGCCACCCGTGGAACAATTTACGACTGCCAACCCGATGACTCCGGACCTCCGCCATACGACAACCAAACTTTTAAATGCACATCCTATTGCTCGACTGAGGGCACCTATGAATGCCGCGGCAACGAGTGTCAGTGCAAGAGGAATGTGATTGGTGATCGATGCGATCAGTGCCGCCCCGGAACCTATGGACTGTCTGCTCAAAATCAGGACGGCTGCAAAGAGTGCTACTGCTCTGGATTGGCCAGCCAATGTCGGTCGGCGCCTCTGTACCGCCAGCTAATACCGGTGGACTTTATTCTTAACGCACCGTTGATTACGGACGAAAACGGAGTTGTCCAGGACACAGAGAACCTGATTCCCGACATATCTAGGAATATGTTTACCTACGAGTATATCTCCTACCTACCCAAATACTGGAGTCTTAGGGGAAGCGTGCTGGGCAACCAGCTATACTCGTACGGCGGCCGCCTGTCGTACAGTCTAATAGTGCAGTCCTATGGCAACTATGAGCGTGGCCATGATGTGGTGCTCATTGGCAATGGATTGAAGCTCATCTGGTCTCGACCCGAAGGAACTGAGGATCAGGAGGAGTACAATGTTCGACTGCACGAGGACGAGCAATGGACCCGCCAGGATCGTGAATCAGCACAACCGGCTTCTCGTTCCGATTTCATGACTGTGCTGTCGGATCTACAGCACATCCTAATCCGAGCCACACCCAAGGTGCCCACACAGAGCACTTCGATCGGCAATGTCATTCTGGAGAGTGCGGTGACCACAAGGATGCCGGGAGCTACGCATGCTTCCGACATCGAGTTGTGCCAGTGCCCCACCGGATACACGGGCACTTCCTGTGAATCCTGCGCACCTCTCTACTACCGCGATGCCAGCGGATCCTGCAGCCTGTGTCCTTGCGAGGCTTCCAACACGGAGTTCTGTGACCTGGTCAGTGGCGGATACGTTGAATGTCGTTGCAAGGCACGTTGGAAGGGCGATCGGTGTCGCGAGATCGGTGAGTGATGAATTTAATGTATCGTTACTCATCAAATGACATTTGTCCTTTTGCCGCTCTTCCTATTTATAAATCACTGGCCTTTTAGCCAATCTTCTGCATACCAAACTACATGAAATACTCTCATACAATATGCTCGTGCTTTAGGCCCGTGTCCAATTCAAGTTCTAGGTTGTACCGCGTTATTCGCGTAAATGTTCTAGCAGAAGAAAGCCACTTCCATTTGTAGTCTTTATGAATTTTAAGTACCCTCTTAGATTATGTCAAAGGAACACTAGGTCGAAAGTAGAGCTGTCCGTTTATAAAATAGAGCTTCGTAACTTTAAAAACTAGTGCCAGAACCCCGATAAGACTATATAGTACGTTTTAAAGCAATACGATTTTGTGTAACCCTTAAACATTTTTCGACCTTTGGAAGTTGCGTAATCTAAGTTGTAGGTATTACACGATCGGATACCCGATTAATGAAATCTTATCTGTTTGATTCAATTTCTCCTTTCTCTCGGACCTTGTTTTCCATTCTTGCTTCGTCATCAAATCTGAACCCAATCGAATTTCAATGCCAATATTAAAAAAAAAAAAAAAAAAAAAAAAAAATACCAAATTTCAATTTTGCAATCATCAAAACCAACAAAATCCCATCCATCCACATTCTAGACACATCGCCCATTATCGAAGAACCGCCCCAGATATGTGATTTAAGCAGGGGATTCTGTTGCAGCGGCTTTCAGTTCGATATCGCACCGAATGAGACAATCTCGTTCAATGACACCCTTCAGATATATAAGGGCAACAGAATCATAGGAAATATGACCAAGCTGCGCTACGGCTGTCCATCGCGAGGTTCGCTCCAAACTCTCCGATCCACCGAATTGAACCACTGAAAACCACTCAGGCGTCTACAAAACACCACAACTGTTGCATTCCTAATACTCGTTCCTTTATATCTCACACCGGCACTCCTAAAAACCCTCCACTCTACACCCTATATAAAGAATCTTCCCAGCTTAGATATGTGTAAAGATCTGTAGATCTGTGTGTAGAGCGAAACTAACTCGTATATCTGTGACCTAAAACCCAAGTAGTCCAAGTGGGAAGTCTCCCAAGCTCTTGTAATTGAGTTAGCTCCTGTATACCGCCTCTCCGCCTCTCTTTCTCCGACTCTGTATCTGACCTTTCGGTGACTTAAAAACCACTTAGCTAGTCTATGTGTCTTAGTACTTGTCTTACCCCAAAAGTAGTTTTTGTTCTCTATGTACAGATGCCAGCCTAGTGCCTCTGCTCCTTCGAACCTTTCGAACCTCCTTCGACAAGCCCAACCATAACGCTCTTGTCTCTGTCTCTGTGTGTTTCATATATATAATGTGTATCTTAGCTACCATAGTCTATAACGTCAGCGACCACAAAGCCAACAAATATTGGCCCCGAAACGCGTTGAAGTAGCTTAAGACTTTGCCATAGATACTCATAGCCACTAACCCTAAGTTTAAAACTGACTTCTGAATTCGGGACATGAATCAGGTGATATCGATAGAATAATGACTAACAATTAGGTGACTTAATGACTGATTCAAACTTACTGACTAAACTATTGAGGAACGGATTCCCAACATACTGCTAGGATGGATTATGAGTATCTATTATTAGCATTATAAAAACTAAGCCATAAAGTAGTGGTTACGTTACTTCAAACATTAAAACTAACCATTAAAAATAACTTCGATAATCTTGCAAGGCACTATATTCGTGTTTGTTAACCAATCTGTCACCTAACCCTCGAATCTATAGGTTAGCTGGAGTCATCCCAATTTAGAGGATGCATACTTTAAGAAACCAAAATTAAACCCCTAATTCAACCACCTGACTTCGTGCCCAACTAGGAGTCATTAAGCCGCAACCACATGTCACTAACACACTCTAAGGACCACTTTAGATGATTTGCGTTCTCATACGAGTTTCTTATATAAAAATGTACAATGATTTTGATCCAAATATTGTGAAAGCGAAAGCAATGTTAAGAACTCAAATGAGGTACCGTCTCGTTTAAAGAGGGCCTTACTCACACCGCAAGAAACTCAGTTTGTGGGAAACCACCAGGGTAATTAAGGTATTTGTCTAATCGATGTTCCTCGCCACCCTAGACACCAACGATCCAACGCACACCGGTACTGCCGATCCCGTGCTCTCCCAGATAATCGTGTCCATTCAGAAGCCAGAGATCACCATTGTGCCAGTCGGCGGTTCTATGACCCTCAGCTGTAGCGGTCGAATGCGATGGAACAATGTGAGTTGACAGGGATTTGATTAGCTTCGTAATGTATATTTTGTCCAGGAATAGGTGATTCCTGAATATTATCAAAGCAAACTTGATCAATTATTATGTGATTGTTAACCTATTGCATTTTGTATCGTCCAGAGTCCAGTCATTGTGAACTGGTACAAGGAGAACAGTCGCCTGCCCGAGAATGTTGAAGTCCAAGGCGGTAATCTGTATCTGTACGACCTACAGATCAGCGATTCTGGAATCTACATCTGCCAGGCCGTCAACAACGAAACGGCCAGAGTGTATACGGACTCTGTATCCATTACCATATCCAGTAAGTAATGCCTATATCTGTCCGCAAATGTTTGCCAATACCTATATCGCTAACCAATCGCTTAACCTTATACAAATTGCGGCATTTATCAAAGGATATGCCCAGGAAATGCTGGCACGCTACGGTATTTAACATTTTTAAACAAATTATATGAATTTGTATTACGATTTTTCCACATAAAGCACATCTATGCATAATCTATGTAAACCCATATTGACGCACAGTATCCTTTGCTTTAACCCAAAATGTACCCCGCAGAGAAAGACCAGCTTTCACCGGCTGAGATTGTGAATTTGCCGAGCCACGTTACATTTGAGGAGTACGTTACCAATGAGATCGTCTGCGAGGTGCGTGGCAACCCAGCACCCAGAGTCACCTGGGCGCGAGTGGACGGCCATGCGGATGCGCAAAGTACCCGGACATACGACAATCGCTTGATCTTCGATTCGCCAAGGAAATCGGACGAAGGTCGCTATCGCTGCCAGGCGGAAAATGAACAGAACCGGGATGAGCAGTACGTGATCGTCTATGTTGAGAGCAATGCACCACAGCCTCCGCCGCCGCAGGATCGCTTGTACATCACACCGGAGGAGATTAATACCCTGGCCGGCGATTCCTTCCAGTTGAACTGTCAATTCACAAGTGTTGCCTCACTGCGCTACGATTGGACCCACGAAGGGCGCTCCTTATCCTCTTCGCCCGCCCGAAATGTTCAGATCCGAGGCAATGTCCTGGAAGTTCGCGATGCCAGCGAACGCGACTCCGGCATCTACACCTGTATAGCCTATGACGTCCGCACCCGCCGCAACTTCACCGAGATCGCCCGTGTTAACATCGAGCAACGTGAGGAACTACCACTTGGGTGAGTACAAAGTTCATAGTGTTTGAGGGAATGATGATCTTGATGGAGCAATTCATTTATGTGTCACAGCAACAAACCGATCATCGAGAGCTTGGAGCAGAATATCCTGATCATCCAGGGCGAGGACTACAGCATCACTTGCAAGGCCAGTGGATCGCCATATCCCTCGATCAAGTGGGCCAAGGTGCACGATCTTATGCCCGAAAACGTCCACATTAGTGGCAACGTGCTGACCATCTATGGCGCACGATTCGACAATCGTGGTGTCTACTCCTGCGTTGCCGAAAATGTCCACGGATCCGATTTGTCCAGCACAAGTATCGACATTGAACGTAAGTTTTCAGGAGTCCATGACCCTGTACGAGTATATAACCTACATAAGTTGCGGTCTAAGAGCGGGCGAGCTTAGGCTTGTGATGAAGACCACATCTTCTCGCAACTCTTTTGAAACACAACAAAGAATACGAAAAAAGTTACCCCACTAACGATGCCTTTGCTCTATTTCATACTGTTGTCTCTCTTCCAACACAAACACTGATTACCTGCCCCCTTTCTTTTAAATTTTAATTTGTATAACCCTTTGCCACATCCAATCCGATCCTTGATCTAACTAAAACCCATAACTTTGCCATGCAAGTGCACAAGAGTGGAGTTGGTAATAAGACAGGTCCGCACACTCTGATCCTAATACTAATTGGTGCCACCACTGTGGTTTACTTGCTTGCAGCCCGGGAGCGGCCGAGTGTAAAGATTGCATCGGCGCCGCTGCAAACATTTTCGGTTAGCGCACAGGCTTCCCTCTACTGCACGGTAGAGGGCATTCCCGATCCGACCATCGAGTGGGTTCGTGTGGACGGTCAACCGCTGTCGCCGCGTCACAAGATCCAGGCACCCGGCTACATGGTGTAAGTAGTGGAACTCCCAGTGTCTGAGGCTTCAATCAATTTATATCAATTTAATAATTCTCTGCAGGATCGACGATATTCAGATCGAAGACAGCGGCGACTACGAGTGTCGCGCAAGGAACATTGTCGGCGAGGCGTCCGGCGTGGCCACTATTAACGTCCAGGAGCCAACTAATGTCCATTTAATGCCCAACAACCGGGACATCAAGCTCACGGAGGGCGATGAACTCTCAGTGACTTGCGTGGGCAGCGGCGTTCCTAACCCGGAAGTCTATTGGCTTTATGAATCGGGATCGAATCGGAATGCTCTCAAAGTCAACCGCCCGAGCAATACAGCAGTCCTCAACATCTACCGAGTTTCCCTGAAGGATGCAGGCATATACACTTGCCGTGGAAGCAACGAAGCCGGCACCGATGAAGTTCACATTCGCGTGGATGTCCATGCAAGGCGCGGAGATATCGGAGAAGGTATGTTGGCATGTAATTGAAAAATGCTGAAGACAACGGAATTTAGCTTTCTTAGCTAGCACTCTTAAATAGAAATTTATTCCCATTGTTGTTAATTCAAGCAAGAATGGACATTAACGCCTAGCTTATATGCATTTTACAGTTGATGATGATACCGACCTGGAACCCGTACACTACGATCCGGAACCACCCCGACTCCCTGGCATCGATCAGCCGAGCAACCAACTCCTGCCCACCGACTTTGGTGAAAATGTGACCCTGACCTGCGACATATACCAAAACGTGAACACAAAGTGGGAACGCGTCGACGGGTCACCACTGCCACACAATGCCTACGCGTTTAAAAACAGGCTGGAAATTGTGCACATAGAACAGCAGAATTTGGGTCAGTACCGCTGCATTGGAATCGGTCGCGATGGCAAGCCTGAGTCCTATGTGGTTAGGGAGCTGGTCCTTCTGCCCCTGCCCAGAATCAGGTTCTACCCGAATATACCGCTGACCGTGGACGCGGGCCAGAACTTGGACGTGCACTGCCAGGTGGAGAACGTGCGTCCGGAGGACGTCTATTGGAGTACCGACAACAATCGACCACTGCCCAGGTAGGAAAATGCTTACACATAGGAGGGAAAGTGTAAACAGTAAACATGTGACCTAACTAACCTCTTGCCCCCCATCTGACTTCACTCCAGTTCGGTTCGCATCGAGGGCAGCGTCCTGCGCTTCGTGTCCATCACACCGGCGGCTGCCGGTGAATACCGCTGCTCCGCCTTCAATAAATATGGAAACCGATCGGAGATCGCAAGGGTGGTGGTAAAGAAGCCCACCGGCTTCCAGCTGGTTCCGCAGTCGCAGGTGCAACAGCAGCGCGAAGGTGAAAGCATCAAACTGCAATGCAGTTTGACCACTCAGTACGGCGGCAATGTTCAGGTGAGCGTCCCTTGACTACCTCCCAGGCAAAATCACCAATGACCACCAATGATTTTATGTTCGTTACAGTTCAAGTGGTACCGCTACGACGGAAGTGTCCTGCCGAACAACGCCCGTCCGGATAGCCAGGTGCTGGTGCTGTCCAATTTGCGACCCGAGGATGCGGGCCGATACATCTGCGACTCGTACGACGTGGACCGAAGGCAGCAACTGTCCGAAGTCTCCATCGACTTGCAAGTACTAAGTGAGTAATCGCTACGCGTTAGGTTTTGTGAGACCCCTGCGGAATCTCCGACTCCGGCTCAGAGGTGGAGTCGGTGGAGTCCGCCGGTCCGCAGTCCAAAGATGTCGTGTCCGACAAGCAACCTTACTTCCATTTCGCCCCTGAAAAGAAAACGCATAAGTGACCCCACCCAAAAAAAAAAAATGGGTTTACTCAAGAGAAATCAATTTTGAACAAAAGCTTGTTAGGCCAGCCCGAAAACCAAACCAAATAATTAAGAAAGAAACTGCGAAAAGATTAATAATGCATAAATGTATAAGAAAAGGAAGAATTTTCAAGGATTAGGCTTTGTTAAGCAGGTTTGATCGTTCGCTGATTTTACTAATTCCCCACTCAATTGAATGATATATATATTATACCTATATATATAATACTCCTATATACATATATAAACACATCAATGTACTCGTATCTGTTAGCCTAAACACAAAATGGCACGAAGTCGATGCCAGATAAACACCCTGTATATACGCAAACGGAAATTGTCAGTCCCCAACAACTAAAAACGAGCAATATCTCTATGTATATATATGTCTAGCACTATTGGCCATAGGCGGTTCCAGGGTTATTACGAACACACTCTGTATATAACAAATGACCAGCAAAAGATATCGAAATCATTGAACGAACTTTGGTGGTGGAGTGACAAACGAAAGGGACAATTACCAATCATGTAGTAATTTTTAGTAAAAGTCCATTGCATGCAAACGAAGTCCGAATCCAAGATTTTCCGAATGTTGTTCCATTATTTTGTTAACCAATTGAAATTCTAGCAATCTAAGCTCTGAAAAATCGAAATTATACACCACACGCACACTTATATATATGTATATATATATATAAACGAACATTCTTAAAACTTGATAAATCTTAAGCTTACCTAAATGGCTGCCAAAAACATTTCTAATACGATACATTTAAGCAAACCCCACTTAAAGTGAGAAATAAACATATTATTAACATTAAAAACTTGCACAGCGCAATGTGTAAAGCAAATTGTAACATATTCTTTTTATTTACATTCCAAACTCCTGCAGAGTCCATTTGTCGATTATAAAAATTGTATATTTATTATTTTATATCCTTTGTCCGAGAGTAGAAGAGCAATCTCTATACATTTTATAACAAATTAAAAACTCAAATATTATGAATTCCGAAATCAATGTGAAAATAAGATGGCATTACCACTTGTGGATCTGCACGGGTATTCAGAGCATCGGTTGACCGATTCTGGCCATTTTCCGTTACGTTTTTATTAACATACGATATGAAACCATTGTGGTGTCGGCTCCTCTCCTTCTTTATCGCTACTGACCCTTGGTGTTCGTCTATATCAGGCCCATTAGATGTTAAGTTAACTATATTATAATATTGAATTTATTATCGTGGTTATTGGTTGTCAACTGTTTGTTTGTGTTTTTTTGTGAATTAATATGTGTAAATCAACGACAAGCTAATTATCTATAATTTAAGCACTGCACACAATCCACTGCCATTCTGCCACCACTCCATTCTGGAGTTTCTACAACTTCACTGAATTCGCACCGTAAGCACAGGAAAAACTATTACAAAGGAATCCAGCACCAATTAAATTGTAAATAATAAACTTAGCTTTGGTCCTGAATCAGTTAAAATCAGTCAAACAGTCAGATACAAATGAATCAGTTTAAAGAATCCGCTGAGTTGTAGGTTTTACAGTTCCACCTACTTTTTTATGCAAATGGAACACATTAATTAATTTGATATTTTTTGATATTTATTTCTTCCTCTCTCACGCTCTTCTCTCTCTCTCTCCCACTTTCTTACATGTGCGCTTGTTGAAATATTTTTAATTACCCTTTGATTTGACTTGACTTAAACTGTTTAATTGGCAAATGCTATAATATGATATATGATATGATATGGTACACTGTGTGCGCTTTTGCTGTTCCCATGTCGAAACAAAAAAAAAAAAAAAAACGTAAAACTGCAAAAAAAAAACACACACACACAAAACACAAACAAATTTAATGGTATGGCATGCAACTGCAATCAATCAATGATCGATCGAATCGAACGACGCGACGCGACTACAACTGCCCAGGAGTTACTGCCCAGTATCCTTACAATCGGTTCAAGGGCGGTGTCTCCCTGAAGGACACGCCCTGCATGGTTCTGTATATTTGTGCAGGTGTGTTACAGCCACTGCCGCCTAACCAAATCTAATCGCAGCGATCCTCCATTATACGATTTTTATATTTTTTGTAATTTTATTGAATTCCCTTGATTTTTTTTGTTTTGACCCTTTCGTTTTCGTTTATTTTGCATTTGTTTTGTATTATTATTCTAATGATCTTTATATCTGTATTATGTACTGCCTAACCCTAGATCAAAATAAGTTTTATAAAAAAATGAATCAAACATAATACCAAAAACCTGTAAGAAGTTGCTTTAATGAAACCCCTCCCCCAGCCCAATACGCCCACTAATGCACATAGTCCCACAAGTTTCGCTTCGATTAGTAGAGCACCATCGCAACCGTTCCAGCATGTGTGGATACACAAACTATTAGTAACACTACCTTGTCTAAAGTATAGCATACATAAGACCTTAGTCACATGCATAAGACCCCCGGGTTTTCAGTTCTATACATAGGGTTTAGGGACCAATACTAACCAAGGGTTTTGGTGCTGCGGAGGCTGTAAACTCTTGCTAATATTTTACTTTGTGCCCTTTCAAACGAAAAAAAAAAAAAATTTTTTTAAATGTACCGAAAATTTTGAACCGCAAAATTACCGCAAATTCAAAAAACAAAACAAAAACGCCACAGACTTCAAGAGCAGCAAACTCTCCCCCACGAAGCCCATCATTTCCGGACCAGCCACGACTCGACCTCCAGCTATCTCGTACATCTGCCAACCCAACGACTTCAAGTGCGTTTCGCATCCGCACACTTGCGTCAGAGCCAACATGGTGTGCGATGGGATATACGACTGCACGGATCACTCGGACGAATTCAACTGCATCGCCGGCAAGGGAAGCGGCAAATCGGGATCCAACTCGGGATCGGTGAACTTTAAGCGCTGGAAGAAGAGTCCAGAGCCAAGAAGCAGGAGCCTGATGAAGGCCCTTGAGGATCGGAAGCTGAGGAAGCGCAGCTTCGGTTGGTCCCAAAGTTTTCTCATTCTCCTCACCTGCAAAAGCTTTCTCTCACTTTCTACCCTGGTATCGCTGTCTAATACTGAACTGTACCTATTTGTGTCCCAGACCTTTTAGGCCCCCAGCTCCAACTCTATCCCATCCCATACCACCCTATATACTACTATCCCCACCCCCCACTATCTCTTCTTACTCCTTTTGCTGTCCACTTCCGTAATGCTCCTGGGCGCACAAAATCGTAGAGTTGAAACAATTGCAATGGGCACTGCAATGGAGGCGATGGAGGCGATTATCGACAGCCGACAACGTCCATCGATGAACGACCAACTGCACCAAAAGACTTAAAACGAGAAGCAAAAATGGAGAAAGGTCGCCGCACACGCACCTAGAGGGGTTAACATGTAACAAATAACGATAAGCGATAGCCAATCGATCGATACTCTTACAGCGCTGAGCGGGTTGGCAATTTAACAGGTTCTAACCTTGGATGTTTGTGAATTTGCATGCGGCAAGCTGCGGCTACTGAGTTACTAACTTTATAACCCAATCTAGACTTAAGAACGATACAGTTTGTGTAAATAATACAAAACACTGCCTACAACACAGCTACACATATGAGCGCGCAGCACTCTAAGCCACATGATAAACGATAGCTAAGTACCTGAAATTTTGTAAAGTGTACCTTTAACTGTATCTACCTTATGTGTATATTTGTCACTCAAACAAACGAAATCAATCATCTGTGATTTTAGTGGTAACCCGAGTCCAAATTAGATCTGTAGAATTCAAAGCTCAAGATGAAAAAAAAAAAGAAACAGTACAAACCAACCAAAACCACCTAAAAGATCCCATATGTAACACCCCATGTATTCGTATTTTGTGTGATTCGATCCGTAGCAGTATTGAGTAATAGTAGCTCCATAAAATGTAGTTCACCTCACCAATCCACAAAGTCCCTCTCTGTCGCCTCTCTAAATGTATATCGTATATCTATGTATTGTCTAACTAGGAAACCAAATTCCAAAACCGAAACAACTAAAACAACGACGAGAGCGATAGAATTCGAATGATAATTCTTTAGTTGGATTGAAATCCGTTCCGTGTCAAGTACGTTTTATATATCAATGCTGGAGAAACAAGAAAGTATCGTTCGATGAATATCGCTCTCCTTCTGTTTGAACGACCTATTTAGACGTGTAATTTTGCTAACTGTTTTCTCTCTCTGTGTATTTTTTACTATCTTACTCCCATTTCCATCGCTCACTACCACACAAACACGGATAAACCACCCACACAAATACACACATAAACACACACGAACACACATGCACCCATGCACTTGTGAATTGTCGCTGAATTGTGATCGTTCCGCCGACCATCCTTGTCCTCCACTTGTCGCCTTCTTTCAATGTGCGTGTGTAACTGGTGTCCTGTTGACGGTTGGCGGTATCAGCGGCTACCCCGCCACCCAACAGCCCCATCTACCTCCCGCCGCCGCAGTTGCCAGGAAAGAGCCGCGACTACAGCCTCAAACTGGATGAGCAGTCCTCGAACCTGCGCGCTGGTGACTCCACCAATGTCGAGTGCTACTCCTACGATGACACCTACACCGACGTGGTGTGGGAGCGATCTGACGGCACTCCACTGAGCAATAACGTCCGGGTGAGTATCTCTTAGCTTTCCTGTCCCTACCACTGCCTTCTATTTCGGTACTTCAACTTGCATCATTTGCTGACTTTATAATTTTTTTGAACTGCAGCAAGTGGGAAATCGCCTGGTGATCAGTAATGTGGCGCCAAGCGATGCCGGCAGCTATGTGTGCAAGTGCAAGACGGACGAAGGAGATCTGTACACCACCAGCTACAAGCTTGAGGTCGAGGATCAGCCCCATGAACTCAAGAGTTCCAAGATTGTCTACGCCAAGGTGGGCGGCAATGCCGATTTGCAGTGTGGAGCCGATGAAGGTCGACGACCCACCTACCGATGGTCCCGCCAATACGGCCAACTTCAAGCGGGACGCGATCTCCTGAACGTAAGTCCTACATGTAAGGAAAGAGAAAATACAATCCTTGATTAACATTTTGTCCATTTCAGGAGAAACTGTCCCTGAACAGTGTGCAGGCAAACGATGCCGGTACGTACATCTGCACCGCCGCATATGGCGATGGCGAGACGGTGGACTTCCCCAACATCCTGGTTGTGACCGGGGCGATTCCCCAGTTCCGGCAAGAACCCCGCAGCTACATGAGCTTCCCCACGCTGCCAAACTCATCGTTTAAGTTCAACTTCGAGCTGACCTTCCGGCCGGAAAACAGCGACGGTCTCCTGCTGTTCAACGGACAAACCCGCGGAAGTGGTGACTATATCGCACTATCGCTCAAGGATCGCTATGCGGAGTTCCGATTTGATTTTGGTGGCAAGCCGATGCTGGTGCGAGCTGAGGAACCACTGGCGCTGAATGAGTGGCACACGGTACGCGTTAGTCGCTTCAAGAGGGATGGATACATCCAGGTGGACGAACAACATCCGGTGGCCTTCCCCACCCTGCAGCAGATACCCCAACTTGATTTGATCGAAGATCTGTATATTGGCGGAGTGCCCAACTGGGAGCTCCTGCCCGCCGATGCTGTTAGCCAGCAGGTTGGCTTTGTCGGCTGCATCAGTCGCTTAACCCTGCAAGGACGCACCGTGGAACTGATCCGGGAGGCCAAGTACAAAGAGGGCATCACCGACTGCCGGCCATGTTCGCAAGGACCATGCCAAAATAAGGGAGTCTGTTTGGAGAGCCAGACCGAGCAGGCCTACACCTGCATTTGCCAGCCGGGATGGACTGGTAGGGACTGTGCCATTGAGGGCACCCAGTGTACGCCCGGAGTCTGTGGCGCCGGACGCTGCGAGAATACGGATAACGACATGGAGTGCCTGTGCCCACTGAACCGATCCGGAGATCGATGCCAATACAATGAGATTTTAAATGAACAAAGTCTCAACTTTAAGGACAACAGCTTTGCTGCCTATGGGTGAGTTATCATCACCTCAAGAGTAAAATAATATCTTAATTAAATACTGACCATGTCTTCTTTCCGCAGAACTCCCAAAGTCACCAAAGTCAACATCACGCTCTTCGTACGTCCGTCAAGCTTGGAGGACTCCGTGATTTTGTATACGGCAGAATCTACTTTGCCCAGCGGCGATTACCTGGCACTGGTACTACGTGGTGGCCACGCGGAGCTCTTAATAAATACGGCGGCGCGTTTGGACCCTGTGGTGGTGCGATCTGCGGAGCCACTGCCCCTGAACCGCTGGACAAGAATTGAGATCAGACGTCGCCTGGGCGAAGGAATCCTACGGGTGGGCGACGGACCAGAGCGAAAGGCCAAGGCTCCAGGCTCCGATCGAATTTTGTCCCTTAAAACCCATCTCTATGTGGGCGGCTACGATCGCTCCACGGTCAAGGTCAACCGGGACGTGAACATCACCAAGGGCTTCGATGGCTGCATCTCCAGGCTATACAACTTCCAAAAACCTGTTAATCTCCTAGCGGACATCAAGGATGCGGCAAATATCCAGAGTTGTGGGGAGACAAATATGATTGAAGGCGACGAGGATACCGACAACGAGCCGCCAGTTCCGCCTCCAACGCCAGATGTTCACGAGAACGAACTTCAACCATATGCGATGGCACCGTGTGCAAGCGATCCATGTGAAAACGGAGGAAGCTGCAGCGAACAGCAGGGCATGGCCGTATGCTCCTGTCCTTTCGGATTCAGTGGCAAGCAATGCCAGGAGCGTAAGTCAAATACAAATGGGGAGGCAGACAAGGCCATCTAAACGTCATCTCAATCTAATTGCAGACCTCCAATTGGGCTTCAATGCCTCGTTCCGGGGCGATGGGTACGTCGAGCTAAATCGAAGCTACTTCCAACCCGCTTTGGAGCAATCCTACACCTCTATGGGCATCGTCTTCACCACCAACAAGCCGAACGGTCTGCTGTTCTGGTGGGGCCAAGAGGCTGGAGAGGAATATACCGGACAGGACTTCATAGCTGCCGCAGTGGTTGATGGCTATGTAGAGTACTCCATGAGACTCGATGGCGAGGAGGCGGTGATCCGGAACAGTGATATTCGCGTGGACAACGGGGAGCGACACATTGTGATCGCTAAGAGGGACGAAAACACCGCCATTTTAGAGGTCGATCGCATGCTGCATTCGGGTGAAACCCGACCTACCAGCAAAAAGGCGATGAAGCTGCCGGGCAATGTTTTTGTCGGTAGGTGTCCCTACATTTGAAGCATAGCATTTCAGGGTTAATCACTTCCCTTCATTCATTTTTCAGGTGGCGCTGCTGACATCGAGGTGTTTACGGGTTTCCGATACAAGCACAATTTGAACGGCTGCATAGTGGTCGTCGAGGGCGAAACTGTGGGCCAAATTAATCTTAGTTCCGCTGCCGTTAACGGAGTGAATGCCAACGTCTGTCCCGCGTAAGTAAACCTAAATCTAAGTTAAGTCTCAGAAAAAAAAATCCTAGGTTTCGCCACTTATCCATCCTATATCTGCGATTAGTCTGTGGAGTCCTTCTAGCCTTGTGCACCAGGAGATCGGCAATGATGTAGTTATGGACAGCCACGTGACTGGCAGGGATCTCAGTTTCTTCGACGAGCTGGATCAACCACCACCGGTGCATATCCTATATCCGCGTCCCAAAATCAACGATTCTCCCACCAACAAGGCCCCTCGAGTGGTACTACCGCTATCACTGGTCTTATCGATACTTCTCCTGAGTTGTCGGTTATCGGTGATATCCCTGTGTCTATTGCCCGCTCCCAGCTAAGCTAGTCTTGCCAGGGTTGTAACGGAAACGACATCGAATAATGAGGCGAAATCGTTAGTCGCCATCAGTTGCCTGTGGCAACTGTATCCCTTACTTAAACATAGAAGGAATTTTGTTCCATTTTTGTTAACCCATAAGAAGGGCGGCTATGACAATTCTCAAGTCCATGTGGCAATATAATATTTGAGCTGTTTTAGCTAGATTATTTAAAGCCCAAAAAAAGGCTTTTACCGCCTATTTTTAAGAATAAAATGGAATTTAACTTATAATGTTTTAAATTTCAATTAAATCTTTGTAGAAATGTATCTGCTTATTGAAAGTGTTTAAAAACAAGCAGTACAATATTTAAAACCGTTCGAATATCTCTTACATTTTGTAAGTTTTTTCTTTTTGAAAATATAGAACAAGTGTCATAGCTGCATATCCTAATCAATTTACAATATAGTCAATACATTCGAAAGTGTTACCATTGGAATTATCGTGCCATATCATTGCAGAATATCATGTTATATTATACAAAGTATATTGGAACGGCAGCCGGATAAAGGAAAATAGATAATCGACTATATATTAAGCTATCATAAAGGATATTAAATACATAGGCGTTTTTTTTTCCTAGTCAAATAGTTAGCACCGAATCAGACATATGCGGAATTCACACATATGTTATTGTTACAGATCCTATCTCGTATTAGCCAATTCTACCTGAATGGTACTCGTTTCGAAGCCAAGCTCAGGTCACACAACTCTAAAGCTACATACATATATATTTGATCACATCTAAACCCCAGTTATCTATAGGTAGAAAACTCTTGCATAGATAGGTAGTTCAACGTAAACATATCCTATAGGAAAAACCCTTAAAACAAATATCTGTGCAATCTATCCTGAAATACGGTAGCTCTCAATGTACTCGAAACGTATTCTGCTTTGTGACCATATCTATAAACTCTATTATTATTGTTACCAATAAGATTAAAGGAACAGTTTGTTTCAGTTTGGCAGAGGGAGACTCCCCCAATATACTATATGATACAATATAATTACATTTTATTTTACCAGATCTCAAAAAGCTGACTACGTTATTATTTAATGTAGCTGTGTATTATCCAAGTTTATTAGCTAGGTGTTCTTATAAAGATGAATAGTTCTGAGATGCGTAGTTGCCCAATTATTATTATATAAATGTCATGAAAGAAGTTATATTAAAATATCTATTGACATGGAGTACGAAGAAAACCAAAGTTCTTCTTCGCATTGAGGCAAAGTCTGAAAATTGAGTTTGGCGAGGCTTGTATTAAATTTTAAATATAAGTAATATATTTATTGAAGTTAGAGCTCACAAATTTTATTTCATGTGTTTCATATTTGTTTTGGTTGCTATTTCGAACTTTTAATTAAGAGTTTTTATTTTCCGTTTTCGTATGTTTCATATTTCTTTTGGTTAATATTTCGAACTTTTAATTAAGAGTTTTTATTTTCCTAATTTATTTATAATTTCTTTCGTTTCTTCATTTTATTTGATTAGTGACGATGATCCACTGGGAGGAACCGAACCGCCAGTCGTCTGAGGACACAACCAACAACCGAAACTAGCTTTTTAATTAAACATTAACAAATGAAACAAAACGAACAACAATTTTTATATATACAACATATGAATAAGCCCAAGAAAATCCACAAAAAATTGAATATTATATCACTTACACATAATATAAAAGCAAAAAAAAAAAAGAAAAGAGAAACGATCACTTCAACTACAATTGCTTCTTCGATCCTTAAGTCCAAGTTAAAGATTGTAGCAAGGAAAAACGCGAATATCACAAACATTTATTTAACAAAAACGCCATGCAAGAAGTGAAATGAAACAGATACAATAATGCAATTTATGCAAATAATACAGAAAATACAGATACAGTTAAAGCCTAGAACCCTAAGAACTTACTAACTAACTCGAGCAACAACAACGCATACTAGCCAACTGCAACCACAAAAAAAAACACAATAGTGAAGGCATTTTAAATATAATTTTAGTCTCTAGCTTATGACCTATGACTACGACTCTTTTTTTGCCAACCCAGTGTAAAAAGTTGGAGATCGAAAATTGGCCCTACACACACACACAAGACCACGTTATTGATTAAAAACCCAATTGATAATAAACATGCATATAATGATAAATGAATTACTAAGAATGCAACTATTGTGAACGGGCGAAAACCGTTGAGTGGATAAAAGCAATTGCAGAAGATATATTAAAATGAAATCAACAACAGTTTGGATGGTGTTTAATTGCGGGGAGGAGTTCTTCATTCAAGTACAGTTCATACATACATACATACATATGTACATAGATCATCATTTCCATAAATCATCTTCATCTCAACTGAGGAGTCTCCAGGAGAAAGGTATTTTATATACATATATGTTATATATTACTTTTACTTGTACTTATTATATACACTGAGAAAGTATTCCCAAAATAATCATAAGTTCTAACATTAGTTATATTTCTTGCCATAATTAATTTGTTTTATCAAACTTGCATTTATTTGGCACCTGATTTCGAGTTGAAGAGTGGCCCTCTCCCGCTCTTCCGTGCTCCCGTGCTCTCGTTCTCTCGGTCTCCTACTCTCACTCTCTCTGCATCCCCGCTCAGCTGAGTTATCTCGCCTTGTCTTCGCCTTCGCCTCAGCGATTCAGCTCACTTCGCTTCGCGCCGCCGAGCAAGACAGACGTGTGTGCGGAGAGTGCTGAGGCTGCGTGAAAATATAACAGAGATATATATTTGAGCTCCCGGCGCCCGCGTCGTGCTAATAACTGTTATTTGTTTACCTTTATTTTTTTTGCTGTTTTAAATCCCTGTGAGTGCCGTTTGGCCGCCCTTCCAAGTGCATTCAAATTAGGAAGTGCAAAGAAAGAAGGAGAGAGAAAGAGCGAGAGCAAGAAAAGTGCGTGTGCCAAGTTTGTTTTTATTTTTATAACGGCAACCGGCTAAAAAGGCAGCGGCGTCGCGTAGGAAACACCTAATAACTATAAATTATGCTGTGGCGGAACATCAATACTTTTTTCGAATGTCCGTCGAGTAGTGATCTCCATATCCCCAGATATCGAGTGTCCTACATAAGAGCCACGAAATTCAATTTAAGCCGATGCCAATCGCCATATTCTTGAGTGTGTATGTGTGCGTTCGAAAGGCTTTGAAAATGCCATAACATTTTAATGGGTTTCTGTTATTTGGACTGCCTTTCCTCTCGGCTCTTATTGTTCTTTTACTGCATGCTTCTTCCGTGTGTGAATGGGAAAATCGCAAGAATGCCGCGACCAGTGATCAAAATCTAATCAAAATATTTACCGTTCGTTTAGCGTGCGACAAGTGGTGGAGATTTGTGGATTTGGATAGAGGATTTAGCTGCCCTTCGCGGTTCATCAGCAAAACAGGTGAGTTTTTCAACGGTAAATGGCCAATGGCCAGTGACTCGAAAGTAGTTCATCTGGTCAGTGCAGTCCGTAAATGTCGGTAAATCAGACAAAAACCCCCTTCCCCGCGGAATTACCACTGCCATATCGATCGATTCCAGTTGACAAGTTTTTCGCGATGGCCATGCGGCCATGTCCTTTTTTGGCCAACAGGCGATGGCCAATGGCCAATTGCCAATTGCCGTTACTCTTATGTGTCAGCGGGCCCCCCCAACAAAGTAACAAAATAACAACAAGTGTTGCACATCAAATCCAGCGCGTACACATAAACCAGAAAAGTGCACAACCAAACCTGTCATCTGAGGTGGGCAGGGGTCCCAAGACCATCCTTCATTCCCCTTTTTGCTCGTTGATAACATTAATGAACTGTCTATGTGCCGTGCACCAGAATAGAACCCCAAGTTAGGCAGGGCGGGGATGGGGGATCGCTAGAGGTTGCACAACTACAGTGGGCCCTCTGTAACGTTGCAATTCGTCGGTCAAAATTTGGAAAATTACCTAACCATTCTAACATCTATCTAACTATTGTCCTCTTAACTGTTCTTAAATATAAGGAGCTTACTGGTTGAATGTACACTGCGTAGCCATCAGATTCTGTTTAGAGTAATGTTTTGCTAAGAATGAGCACCTCCTTCACAGTGCGTCTTAGCCAAGCCCACCTGTAGCTTGAGCACGCACATTTCTGTTGCCATTGGCAAGAGGTGAGCGAGCGGAATGCAACAGGCAGCTGGTCGCAGAACAAGATCATCTGGGAGAAGAGAGATACATAGATGCATTCAGGGAACCGGACACTTGGCCAAAACCAAAAACCAATACCAATGCCAAACCTGAAACCGGAGAGCATTCCCATTTTCCAGCCCGTTCCCGCTAACAATAAATCAAAGGGCTGGGGGAAAAGTCCAACAATAAAAATCAAGCCAAGTGTCGTCGTCTCATTCTGCAGGCCAAAAAAGGGATGGTAGGGCAAGGGAAGGGAAGGGCAGGACAGGGCAGAGAAGGGGCAAGGGAATAGGAATGGGAATGGTCAGAGAGCCTTTGTCTTGTTGTTGATGGGATTTCATTATTACTTTCGATTGTGGCCCATTGAGACACAGTTCCTTTGCTCCGTCTTGTTCGTCGTCGAAAATGCAGACAAACAAAAAGGTCTCTCGGTCCAAACAAAAATAAACACACCGAGCAGCATCATCACCATCACCATCATCGCCGTCATCGTTCCCATTCCCATTCCCAGTTTCAGTCCCAGTCCCAGTCGCAATCCCAATCTTATACCATCCACGTCGTCATCTTCCTGGGCTCCTTTGCTGCAACTCTAATCGCATAAGCAGATAGACCAGGTGAACTGATGGCAAGGGGCGCAGAGCGACAGGGCCACACTGAAAGAAGGTAGAAAATAAATAAAGCGATAAATGGAAAATAAATTTCGAAAAAATTGCTTTTCAAGTGGCCCAGCCAAACGATGTGGGGTCCACTCCAACAGACCAGTCTGCCCAGCTACCGATCCGAGACCTGGCCAGGTCTAGCCAAATCTAGCCAGGTCTAGCCAGGTCCTTTTGCACGGGGGAATGAACGGGCTGTAATGAATCAATAGGAAATGGCTTAGCATAAAACGGGATAATTGGATTGGACAGTAAAAGGTCTTGGTCTTGCAAGCATCCAAGTCCCATCAAACAGCCCACCCAGGCATGCGACTCAGAGGTTCATACTATACTCGTACATTCCGCAAATGAAGAGTTTTTACTCATCACTCGTACGCATTTCCAACGATCTCGGGCACTATTTCGCATTCCCTGCGCTCGAATTTCATGGCCAAAACGATCGCGATCGGTTCTCACACCCCATTAGTACTGATCCACTGATCCAGTTTCCAACCAGCCCACACATTCGGGCTATAATGAGGAAAACAGAATGCTCGGGGAGTGCATTCGCCACAAAATTAGACATTGACACCTTTTCCCCTTTGGGATTTCGATTCCGATTTCGATTTCGATTGGGGGGATGCCGAAACGGATTTTGGGTTCCGTAAAAACGGCGCATAAAAATTATTTCACGCCACACCGAAATGGGCCCCCAAGAAATTATGATTAATGCTGAAAACATAAATTGGATTTGATTTCTGTTTGTTTGCCGCTTTCTTGCAGCTTTGTCTCGCTTTTTCTCGCTCTTTTTTCGGTGTTTTTGTGTCTTTGGGTTTTTTGGTGTTGAATACCTTCATGGATACCTTCCCCCCTCACCACCATTGTTATTTTGTTGTAGTTTTTTTTTTTTTTTGCTAGGTAGCCGCCGCCTGTTCATTAGCACAGACTAATCATTGGAGCACAAGAGGCTGCCGTGGGGCAGGAGAAAAAAGATCGGGAAAGGTGGCAATCAACGTGAATGAATGAATGAATGGTCGAACACTCGTCTCGACTTTGAATCTTGTGAATGAGCCTGAGACGCGGCGACGGCATGAATGGGTAGACGATATTCGTTTCGGGCGAAGGGGCTATGTTTCTGCCCCTGTCTTTTTTGTGATCTTCGCTCCCCCTCCCCTTCCTCCTCACCAGCGGAAGTGTAATTGCAGGCTGATTTGGCCGGGATTCCGATTCGGATTGGGAGTCATCTTAGCCCATCTTGGCTCTTTTTATGCGGCGCCTTTGCATCCACTGGGTAAATTAGCCCTCAAGAAGACAAATGAGGGCAACAAAGAGTACCAGTGGGTACCAGTGAAGCACGGTGATGCGGGGAGCACAAAACGGAAGCGCATTACAAGCCGCCAACGTAATGTGATCACATATGTATGTTCTTGTGAGTGGTGCCACTCCCACAGATTCCGAAATGCTGTCTTTAATGGCGGTGCAGTGAGTTCACGTAGATCTTCAGCTTATCGCACTAAATACATCGGGATTGGGATTGAGATTGGGATTGACCTCACATCAACTGCTCTGCTTATGCGGTTTTAAAGGAATGTGTATTCTACCTGGTCTGCTACCAAACGCTTGAGTGAAAGGTCCTACCTAATGCAAGTTGGAGTTCTGGACGGCAAAACGGCTAGAACAGTGACGATCGAACGAGCTTGCATCCAACGAGCTTGTGGCGACTAGTATCACCAGCAATCCCAAACTAACCGCAGTAGTTTGAACAGAGACAAAGACGGTAGTGCATAAACAAATGTTTTCCCCTCCAACCGGAGCACTTCTTATCAGCGGCGACATCGACGGTCCGTGACAATGACAACCGCCACGTTGGAGCGGCGGCAGTGGGCAGGGGGAGATGGTCTGGGAAGAAGGACGGAGACAGCAGACGGGAGAGTGAGACAGACTGAGACAGACAGGAAGTGGGCTATTTGCACTCCAATCCCAAAACAAGTCATAATTTTCGACAATGGGCCGCAGACGACACTACGGTTACGTGGAATTCGGCTACCTCCGCCATTTCCTCCTTTATCTCATGTATCTCATGTATCTCCGCCCTCAGGAGTTTTGATAAAGTGGCTCGTCGGCGGGACGAGAGGCATTTAATAAGCGACAATTTAGCGCTGAAGTCTGACATTGACACAGGTAGAGGAGAATCGCAGTAACAATGCCCAGGTAGCCACCCCTGCCTCCCCTCACACTTCTTTACCCTGCCTTCGCTCACGGTGCCCAGTGTGATTCAGGAACTCCGGCAAGTGTGCTCCGAGAAAAAACGTGCGAGGGATGTGCGGATGTTGATATCTTCGCCGGTGATCGGCTGGAATGAGTCGTCGTCTGGCCTATAAAACCGATTTTAAACGCTTCACTTCAGATCGCCAGGGGACTGACAATGAAAATCTAGGAATATCGGATTAGGGAATGTTGTGAATGAATTGCAGATAGAGATGGCCTGAGAGTCATGCAGCAATTTGGGCCAAACTGACACTTTTTGGTCCAAACTGTAATTGTCGACTAAATGCGCGCTTCTAACATTTCTCGTCTGCTGAATAGACATTATTAGGTATGTACATTTATGTACATTACAAAACCGTGCGAATGGCTCGCTATCACATAACGCTTTCGGTTGATCAATGAACTCTGTGAAGCCAAAACTGTTTGATGGATTAGAGCAACGCTTTCCCCTTTTTTCCTGCGCACACCTGCTTCGAGCAGTTTTTAATTAGAGCCCTCTGTCGAGGGGGGGGAGCAAACGTGAGGGGCTTTTGGGGAGGGAGTCCGCGGATGGGAGGCCTGGGGCCACGATGATGTATTAATTTCCCACCAGCACTGTGAAAATATTGAGTAATCGAACTGCTTCGGTTTCCGACTAACTAGCCATCAAAGCACCTCTATTCTCAGGGTCAGGGGTACGGGGGGTACAGGGTGGCCAGGGGGGGGGGGGGGGTCAGAGGGGCCATGGCTCAGCATGTAGTTGTCGGCATTAGGTGGGGATAGAAAGGGGCGATCGCCAGCTGTGAATGGGGTTCGGTTCAGAGCATTTGTGAACTCAATTAAAATAGCAGACGATCGGTATTTCAGCCGCTAGCCCCCCTCCCCCCAACCTCCGATTATTCGGTTTTCGATCTCGGGGGATCCATGCAAATGCTGGAAACCGAGATTCCATTGCCGATTCGAACTTTGCACGTCTCGCACAGCTCCCTGCCATGTGGTAATTAAACCTGCGTGGAAACAGGAAAACGAAACGAAATAAACATACCAGAGTGAGCAGTAAGATGAAGAGTATGAGACCGCGAATGAATAGACAGACATTCCTCGGCCACCGTGGGGCAATTAGAAAATGAGTTCGAAGCCAAGACAGCGAACGTTAGCGTTCCATTCCAAGATCCGAGATCCGAGATCCGAGTCTCGAGATCCAACGACGGAGCGGAGCTCCATTCGCAGGCCAGCTCGAGTCATAGATCAGCGTTCATGATAAGCCAGATGTGGAAATAAGTTAAGGCTCTCGAAGACGCCATATGCGAACTATGTGATACCTACGAGGGCATAGCTACCTCCACCTCGGGTGTTTAG